TATATATATATATATATATTAATTTTGAATTATTGCATATATTAACTTATAGTTTATATATTAAATTATAAATTCATTTTAAAAATTTTAAGTATATAATTTTAATATTTTATATGCATTTTAATATTTACGAATTTATAAAATTTTAATATATATTACCCCTCTAATCCATATTATGAGACATTTTTAATCGAATCACATGAATTGGTTGATTTTATTAAAGAATTTATTAATAGAAGAGTTCTTATAAAGACTTAAGCATCAATATCAATAAAAATGACAAATGATAATTGAAGATTTTAAAAGATAAAAGAAAAGTATATTTTAAAAGTATAATTATTTACCAATTATGTCTTGATAATTTATGATAAATTAAAATTTTGTATTTGCATAATTAATTAAAAAATCTTAAAAAGAAAAAGAGAAGTGATTTACATCACGTTACATGGTCTAAATTAAGGATAATAAGGTGATTTAAATATTACCTAATTAATAATTATATATAATTAATTATCGTTAACTTTTAATAAATAATTAAATGACTAATAATTATTAATTTTGATATGTTATTTTTTAATAATTATTATGAGTGCCAAAATGAATAAATTTTATATAATACTCTCTCTAATTTTTATCCTAAGACATAATTTAAAAAGATTTGATGGTCTTTTATATAAGAAATTTTACAATTTTTTTATAAAATATTAATTTATTTTCATTGTTTACTCTTATTAAAGATTGTGAGTCGTTTTCTTTTATCTTTTAAAATCTTCAATTATCATTTGTCATTTTTATTGATATTGATGCTTAAGTCTTTATAAGAACTCTTCTATTAATAATTTCTTTAATAAAATCAACCAATTCATGTGATTCGATTAAAAATGTCTCATAATATGGATTGGAGGGGTAACATATATTAAAATTTTATATATTCGTAAATATTAAAATGCATATAAAATATTAAAATTATATACTTAAAATTTTTAAAATGAATTTATAATTTAATATATAAACTATAAGTTAATATATGCAATAATTCAAAATTAATATATATATATATATATATAGAGAGAGAGAGAGGATGGATCCTTTTATTACAGGAGTAAGTTTACTTAGACTTATTCCGTTCAATAATTCATGTTCTACATCAAATTTTAACGATCTAACCGTTCAATTTAAAGTTCTTAATGCATATATCAAATCTGCAAATTTTTAGAAAATTTAAAAATTATTTAATACTTCGTTTTATTAATTCAAATTAATGTATAAAATAATTTTATGATTATCCGTCAATTTGAATTAATGAAATAAGTATCAAATGATTTTCAGATTTTTTATAAATTTATAGATTTGATTTATGTATTAAGAACTTTAAATTGAACGGTTGGATCGTTAAAATTTGATGTAAAACATGAGTTATTGAACAAAGTAAGTCTAGATAGACTTACTCTTGGAGTAAAATGATCCCTTATCATATATATATATATATATATATATATATATATATTATTTTAATTGATTTTTGGATATTCAATAAAAATATCTTAGAAATAAGAGAGCGTCAATATACGTTGATATACGACAAATAAAACAAATTGTTTAAATGTGGTGTTTTAATGTAATTAATAAGATTATTAAATATATTTTTAGTCTTTAAAATTTTTAATTTAATTTTTTTAAAATAAAAATTTAATTTTAATTTATCAAATATTAATTATTATTTAATATTGTATCATAATTAATATTATGATTTTTTTAACTCGATTTTAACAGTTAGTAGGGCATATATAATTTTTTCAAAAGTGTATTTAATATAAGCTGGGATTAATTATGTTAGTCAACAATAATATTTTATCTGTAATTGTAATTTTGATTTCCTAATTTTAAATCTAATTTTAGTCCTTTTTAATTTTGAAAAACCTGAAATTTATTGATTTTTTATTTTTTATTTTTTAATTGTTAAAACTATAACATTGATCATAATTTAATATTAATTAAATAATATAATATTTAAATTAAATTTTAATCTGTTTCCTGATTTTATGATAAATAAAATTTAAAAGTATATTTTAACTAAAATAATATTAAATGATGGGTTTTTTTTTGGGTAATGAAAGATAACCATAACAAAACTAGAAAAATTTCGACCTCAAACTACACTCTCATGACATCAACTTAGTATTTACAAGAGTACGAAGAAATTATAGTAATGCTGTACCAAAGCTTATACTTAGCATGCCTAAAAGATCAACACAAACATTTTTGTTTCTCATGTTAAAATTTGAATCTTAAACATTGTCTATTATTATATTAAATTAGGAAATCAAAATTACAATTACAGATAAAATATTATTGTTGACTAACATAATTAAACCCAGCTTATATTAAATACACTTCTGAAAAACTTAAATTTGCCCCACTAACTGTTAAAATCGAGTTTTTTTTTTAAATTATAATATTAAGTATGATACAACATTAAAAAATAATTAATATTTAATAAAATTTAAAATTTAATTTTTTATTTAAAAAAATTAAATTAAAGTTTAAAGACTCAAAATATATTTAATAATCTTGCGCTTAATTGCCTTAATTACATTGACGTTAAATCACCACACATTTAAACAATTTGCATTATTATTTTTAAGATATTTTAATTAAATATTCGAATAAAAGTTTTAAAATTGCTACAAACAATCAATCAAATTAATATATATATATATATATATATATATATATATTGAATTATTACATATATTAACTTATAGTTTATATATAAAATTATAATTTTAATATTTTATATGCATTTTAATATTTACGAATATATAAAATTTTAATATATATTACTCCCTTCAATCCTTATTATGAGATATTTTTATTTGAGCCACATAAATCAATATAAATAGTTATGTTAATTGATTTCATTAAAAAATTCATTAACGGGATAATTTATATAAAGACTTAAACACCACTGCTAATAAAAATGATTAATGACCATTGAAGATTCTAAAAAAGTGTGAGAGAGAAACGCATACACTCACGGTCTTTAAAAAGAGTAAACAATAAAAAAAAAATTAATGCTCTATAAAAAAAAATTGTAAAATATCTTATATAAAGGACCAACAATTCTTTTTAAATTATGCCTTATAATAAGGATTCGAGAGTATTTTACAAAATTTATTCATTTTAGTACTCATAATAATTGTTAGAAAATAACATATAAAAATTAATAATTACTAGTCATTTAATTATTTATTGAAAGATAACGATAATTAGTTATATATATTTGTCTTCATTAGATAATATTTAAATCACCTCATTATTCTATGATGCAAATCACGTTTCTTTTCTTTTTAAGATTTTAATTAATTATGCAAATACATAATTTTAATTTACCATAAATTATCAAGACATAATTGGTAAATAATTATGCAAATTAAATGGTGAGTTTTTTTTTTTTTTGGTAATGAAAGATAACCATAACAAAACTAGAAAAATTACAACTTCAAACTACACTTCCATGACATCTACTAAGTATTTACAAGAGTATGGAAAAATTATAGTAGTGTAGTACCAAAATTCATACTTAGTTTGATTAAAAGATTAACACAAACATTATTGTTTCTCAGAGTATGTTAAAATTTGAATCGTAGACATTAACTCCTTGATATTGACTATGATTAATGCATATCGAAGCCTTATCTAAAGGGTAATACCTTAAGACACAAAGGCACAAAACATCCTAGTATCAAAGGATGCAATTCAAATACCAAAGTTGAGTCAACTTTGGTATTAACCACCTGTCCAATATCTTCACAAAATCTTCTTATCCCTTTTCTTTATTAAATCTCGAAACAAACTTCCAAACTCTAAAGTGGAGTGCTCAACTTCTATTTTAACCAATTGTCCAATATCTTCACAAAACCTTCTTATTTCTTTACTTGTTGAGTCCTGAAAAAAAAATCATGAAACTGTATTGTTCAATAGCAAAGTTTAGAAGTCTATCATTTGGAAGGACAACAACAATAGTGTTGACGGCTATAACAACAATGATGTTGGTGAAAGTAGTGAAAATGATAATAATAATAATAACATCGTTCCTCTCACCACCATCATTGTCATCGTTGTAGCTACTACTACCACCACCTATCTCATTGTTGTCATGTGACAACAATAATGGTGATAGTGGTGGAAATTATAGTCTTTTAGTTACTTCCTTCTTAATATCAATAGACATGCTCTTTGGTTGATAAGAATATTTTTAGTCTAAAAATACTTATTTTAATGAGGAAGTTATTTTTTAATGTGATCCATTATCAATTTAATTTCAACCCATTATCCTTACAATAACTATGTGGATATACACATTATCTTGTATGTAGAGGATTTTTGTCGAGTTTTGTGATGGTCAAAACTCTATATAAAAAGTGTGTTATTCTTCCTTTGAGTCCCTAAATTTGCTCTTAATTATAACATACAACACTATTGTATATTGAAAGTGAAGGTTTGGAATTGTTAAGAAGAGATTTAGACATGAACTAGAACTAAGATCAAAATAAATAACAATGGCTGAAATGGTTGGAAGTTAGTCTTTTGTGATTCTTTTTCTTGCTTCCATTGTGATATGAATATGTTTCAATCTATTTATAACGTTTAGATTGATGTATTATATCTAACATGGTCATCCCAAAACATGGTAACTACTTATTGATATATTATGTCTGGAATTTTATCGCACTCCATACTTATGATGACCATGAAAACCTTGGTCACCGAAGCACTAATATAATTAACTTCATGAAATGATAAGCTACTAACAAGGAATAAAGATACCATGTTGAATTGCTTCTAAATTACCAAGAAGGTTTTTAAAAATTTTCACTACTTCTTCTTGATGAATTTTATCTTCTATGCACTGCCGTCCTAAGAGGAGAATCAATATCATTGTTTGGGTATGGATCTTATTTTTCTTTATTTCAACATTGTTTGGGTTGTATGGAGAAACTTGATGTTCCTACTACCAAGTTTAATCTACTCTTCCTCGACTCATATACATGCAAGAATTTTTTGTTACAAGAATCCCCATTTTCTAAGTACTTCACAAGTCCTTTAACTCTGGCTTCAAGTTTTTTTTTTCTCGTGATGATACTCCCAAAAATCTTAAACCAAGGAGACCTACAAAAGAGATGCAAAACACTCCTTTTATTTTTATGCCAAGCATTTCCAACAATTCCATTTGCAACAATTGACTCATAATCCTGGTGGGTACTACATGCAACTTCAAAATGAATGCTAGTTTGAGAAAAAATGGCCATGCAATAACAAAGGACTAAAATCAAATGACTTGACCATTAAAATTTAATCACTCCTAATGACCCATTGATTCTATTAAACAAGTAAGTAGTAAACCATTTAATTTAATCATCGCTACTGGACAACTAGTTCTATTAAATAAAGGGGAAAAAAACTTGATACTCCATACAAACCTAAACTTTAAACCATTTAGCTTAATCACTCCTAGTAACCAACTAATTTCATTAAACAGAAATGAACCCTACACCCTAAATCTGACCATGCAATAACAAAGGACACTATATCGGATAGTAGCCGACCTGGCCGAATACAAGTCATCCGACCCGACCGACCCGATTACTTACTCCGAGACCACCGACCACTCATTACCCAAACCGAGTATGTTGGTGTGCTCGGTCATGTTGCGGATTTTACCAAGCCAATTAAGGAGATATTATTTAACATAATGCGCCGGTTTAGTCCCCTAATTTTCCGGGACCCAGTCCCTAATCACGGCCCAATAACAATCGTTATAAATAGGACCCCAATGAGGTACGTAATTAGCTTTTCAACTACCGCATTTATTACGCCGAGCACTTACTTGAGCGTCGGAGTGTCTTTGCAGGCACACCCCCCCTCACTTCGAACTACCCGGATAGGAACGAGAAGACCGAGACCCAGGATCAGACCCGCTACAAGACAAATTGAAGTGTGTATCCTTATCAAACAGGAACAGACACTAAAATCAAACGATTTGACCATTAAATTTAATCATTACTAATGGTCAATTGATTCTATTAAACAAGCAAGTATTATACAATTTAGTTTAATCATTGTTAATCATTTCCGAGTTCTATTAAATAAGGAAAAAAAACCTGCTACTCTAAAATTTAAACCATTTAAATATAATCATTCCTAATGGACAACTGGTTCCATTCAACAACCAATATATAATAAACTCTAAACCATTCCATTTAATCACTCCTAATGGTCAACAGATTCCATAACACACCCCATACCCCATTACAACACAGAGCTTTTAGTAATATTTAAAAAATATTACTTAATTATATATAAATATTGTTAATTTGATTTTGCAACATTTTATTAAATGTTGTATATAACACATGTTACTAAAAACTTTTAATACATAATTAAGCAACATTTTTTAAATATTATCAAATTATATTTTTGTTTTTGTAACATTTTAATAACATCACTAAATTTTTATTAATTTTATTAAATAATAATTAATTTAAATTTAAATTTTATTATTAATTATTATATTTTTTGCCTCCTAAACTTTTAAGATTCTTTTTAAAAAAAGTTAAAACATTTTTAATTAATTATTGTTAATTGTATATCAAATATAAAAATTCATTATGATTATATATACCCTTTATAAATCATTTATACTAAAATTTTAATCATAGATAAAAGATAAAAAATATAATATATATTTTTTTATATGAAACTTTAATTTTAGAAATAACTAAAAAATAATAAGATTAAAATAAATAAAAAAAAATGTTACTTATGGAATAACATTTATGTGACATTTTTAACATTTATGTAACATTTTTATTCGATGCAAAACTTTAATTTTAAAAATAATAATATTAAAATAAAAAATGTTATTCTATAGTAACATTTAAAATAAATTACAAAATAACATATTTATTCGATATATAATAACATTTTCACAAATATTAAAAAAAATATTGCTAAAAAAAATAAAATGTAGTAGTCCCACACCCTAATAATAATATTTGGAACAACAAAATATAATATGCCACACCGAAGAGGGAGTAAACATTACGGCCAAAACCTACAGTAACTCATTGTTCAAAACTTACACATGAAAAGAAAATTACATGATACTGTATCAAAATATTAACAAACAACAAAATATAATATGCCACACCGAGAAGGGAGTAAACATTAGGGCCAAAACCCTAAACCCTAAACTTACACATGAAAAGAAAATTACATGATACTCTATGAAAACATTAACAACCCTCCTTGATCAGTCATCCTCTTTGTGGCCAGAGTAATACAACTTAAAAACTTTTGGAAGATAAACAGGCAACAGAAATCCAAACAAATTGAAACACCAGAAGGCCATATTAGCTACAGCAAGTGCTCTCCCAACATAGATCCTCCATTCAGACCCACTGTGCTCTTTGTATATCTCGCTCCTAAGCCAATCCACAATGGTGAAAATCCTCCTTGAATTGTAAAAGACAGGCACAAAAGCTCTTATTGGAGTTGAGAACCTGCCAGAGAATGCCACCCCTTCCATGAAAACTTGGCAGGCCAAGAGAAAAACATGGGGTGCAGCAGCTTTGATCCCTTCCTTATCTCCCTCAAATATTCCCTGTAAGATATAAGCTATTGGTGCATAAAGTCCAATGATGGCTCCTATGAACACATAAAGGCGAAGGATCTTGTTTTGTGGGTTGAAGACTAAGGGTTCCTTTGATGAGTGAAGAGATGGGAAAGCAACCTTTGACATGAAGTACATGTAAACTATGGAGAAGACCACAAAAGCAAAGTTTTCAAGGCTAACCATGCCACTGGAAGATAAAACAATCACCAAAGCCAAGCAATTCAGTTGGCGGAAAGAGAGGAAGCCTGCCTTGAGTGGCGTGGTGATGGGTTTGTGGACATTCTTGACTGTATGGTCTTGCTGTTCTTTGTGATTAACTTCTTGTTCTTTTGGTAGGCTAATGTCACAGCCAGTTGGACCAACACCGCCTGACATTCTGTGCAGCTACTGAGAAAATTTGTGAATGGAAGGAAGAGTTACCTTGTTGGGCCAATTTGAATTTTCTTTAACTACGAGCAATCAACAACTCTCAAGAGAACATGCTTAAAGTGATGGCATGAGAATAAACTTAAAATACGTAAGCTTTTTACCTTTGGTAATTGACCGGATCATCAAAGATCGGAATTTTGGAAATGGGTATTGAGGGGAAACATAAGCAGTGAAATTGGGACGAGAAGAAAGGGAAGAAGCAGGAAGATAAGATTGGATAAAGCGGTGGAAACGGTGGACAAATGGCAGGTTTATGTGAGTTTAAAGGTAAGGTTGATGGTGTGCGTGGCATAGTTATGTTTATAGTTATGACGCGTGTCCTTTATTGTGGGTATTAATTGTATATCTTGGTGACTGATTGAATGTTTTCCACCATGTGATGCCTGCGATGCCTATTCGGCGGCCTCGATACCAACTTTTTGTTGTGAGAAAGGATTAAGGGTAGCCTCATAAATGTAGTTTTTTGTGCTTACATGGAAGAGAAGTTTCGGATAGTTACCAACTTCAAAAATAGGATGACTAGTTAAAATCGAAAATTTGACCCAGCTTTTATTTTTCTTAAATTAAGAATTGGATCAAATATACGTTGGGAAAATTCTTCAAAATTTAAAACACTTATTTTATTAAAAAAGAGGAAAAATAACGAAAACAATTTATAAAAAGTACTTACCAAACAAATTATTTTGGGGTTCAAAATTAAAATAACTTTTGTTTTTGTTTTTGTTTTTTTTATAAAAAAAACTAGCAACATGCTTCGATAGATACTGCCCCACATCCCTTATTGCACATATAGGTTTTCTGACTGGAAGAACTTTTACGAAACTTGTTTAAATTCAAATAAAACAACTATTTTCATCTTATTTTAAGAAAATTTATAGTTAATTTATGATAAAAATTCATTAAAATAAAACTCTTTAAATAAACGTTTAAATTTTTTTTTTGAAGCAAAATAAACGTTTAATTAAACACCTATTCTCTCTACAAAAAAAAAAAAAAAAACATCTATTCAAACACAATCTTTTTTCTGAACATTTGAAATACCAAATTTTTTTTTTCAGTGTATAAAACTCCAAAAGATATGTTCACACGATTATGCAACTATTAAATCCGCCAAATGAAAGTCCTTGACGTGCCACCATAAAACAGTAGAATACAGAAACGATAGAGAAAGAAAGTGCCAGGGCACAATATTTTGGGATTTTCATTATATAAGCAACAAAATTATTGAAATAAAATTATTGAAATATATAGACAATTATGCCAAAAAGGAGAAGGGTGGTTGTGGGGGGGGGGGGGGGGGGGGGGGGGGG